CTGAATGCAGTCATTTTTCTTTCCTAGATTAAATGACACTATCCTTGGGTAATTATACAGACATACTTTGCAATATCCCAGGATAAACTGTTCCTACCCTTGATCCAGGAAACTCTTTAAGGATTTATCCTGGGATAAAGAACATGGACGTCTGTAAACTTGCATTTTGTCCCAGGATGCAATAGTTTATCCGGGATAAATGCGATGTTTGTTTGTAGCCTTTGATCTCAAATTATGATAAAACCTTAACACAAGTAGTATGGAGAGAGAAACAAAGCTGGCAAACGTTGTGTAGACATTAACAAAAAATGGATTTGCAGGGATTGATAATCATTTGCCTATTTATATATGTGTACTTGCAAAGGCCCCAGATACTGCAAGCTGAAAGCTTGGGTAGACCCCTATGGCTCAACAGGGCCCCACTGACATAAATAGTACTCTGCAGGAGCTGTGAGTTGGCCTTCACGGTTCAATTTGCAAGATCAGGTGCAGGCACTCTGCTAAGAAGGATGGTCTTACACAAATCAATGAATGGATCCAAACACAGTTCAAATATTGTGTTACTCAGGACAAGGATACTGATGATTCTGCTGAATTTTGCAGAGACAGATGGAAGATGATATCTAGCTATATAATGCGTAAGTGCTAGCAAACCTAGATTTAGGGAAGAGGGAAAATAAATATTGTTAATTAAATGTTACTGAAAATTACATAAATGACTAATGCGCTTTCAAGTTTCTAGGAAAAGCAAGGGGCAAGCTTTTTGCAATCTAATTTCTGATGAAGCAGGTTATAAACCTGATGATTGGGATTCAGGTATATTTTTCTACAGGTTTTGCTAAATCATATGAAAAAAATTAATGAATTTAATAATTTAAATGAATAATTTTAACTGAAATATCAGGCCTAAACCCCATTTCTGGCAAAGGATTCCACAGGATCTTTTCAGCACAAGTGGATGAAACATTGGTTATACAGCTTATCATAAAGACAACACCCTCCTTAACACACAAATACAATGCTAACTAAAAGAATGAGGCCTGCTGACTCACCCTAACATTTCCCAAGAATCCATGGGCTTTTTTTGGAAGGCCCCCTATTCCAGTAATGATTAGATCTAATTAGAATGAGGTGATCAGACTGGAGATTTCTTTATGTTGTCAGAACTTTTCTCTGGAGTGTTCCTTTTCCCCTAATCCCACAAGGCTTTCTGGAATTGGTCGTATTTCTTTACGCAAAACTAAGCATTCTACTTACCAGTTCATTCTCTCAGTTATTTCCTGCAAAACAATTTCAGAATTAAAGTGTGTGTTTTTGTTCTGTTCTTATTGAAACTGTTCTTTGAGATAACCAAGATAAATACGGACTTACATTCTGTCACCTTTACTTTTGTTGAAGAGAACCTTATTCACACAAGTAGCCTGATTCAGTGCCACAGAGCCACTTGGCACAGTAAAGTACTTCTCAGCAGGTGCATCTACACAAGACACTTTACTGTGGAGCTGACTAATTAGCTCCACGGTAAAGCATCACCATCTACACATGTGGCACTATTAGGCTACAGTATGTCTGGACACGCTACACAGTACTACAGTATGTCCGGACAGTACTGTCCTCTGCTCTAGGATAGTGCTGTCCAACACAAGTACTATCTAACAGCAGTACAGCAGTGCAGCGAAACACAGGTGCAGATAGTGGCAGGGCATGAGGGTGCCACAGTGTGAGGGCTTCCTGCCAAAGAGCCTCAGGCTGTAGATCCCTCCTGCCCCAACCCCTCTGCAGCACATTGACCTGGGTCAGAGCAGCCCCGGGCTGGCAGGCTGACACCCAGGGCTCTCTGCCAGCCAGGGCTGCTCCACCCCGGCTCAGCGTGCTGCAGTCCTGGGCACACATGTAAATGCAGTGCCCAGGAATAATAAACTCTGGCATGAACTGCCCGGAATGTATTGCCACATGCTAATTGCATGTGTAGATACATCCTGCATGAATTAAGGTAAAACAAGCAGGCCCTGGAACCTCAGTTTGTATGCAGTAAGCTGAAGAATCTCACTGGAAGCCACTGAAATTTTATTTCTTCCCTCATAGGACAATTTTATTCATGATTCAGGACTTGTCTACATGGGAAATTTAATGCAGAGTAACTAGTGAGCTGGAAATTTACCACCCATCTTACTGTATACTGACTGCCCATGTGCCATTGGGTTTAATGGGATTTCTACTTTGGTGTGTGGAGGAATGGCATACTCTGTCCATACACGTTTGCTGTATGGCCCAGTTACCAGACTTGAGAAGAGTCTGAACTCCCAAAATATTTCAACTCTCCTCTTCAATCTTGTCTCAATTTTCACTTCTGTAATTTCAAGCATAATGTATTTTTACTACAGTAGGTAAAACTTTTGCCTGGTGCCATATGTTACATGGCACTATTGAGAGCCTTCCCCAGATTTAAAAAAGGAAACATTGCCCTTTTGATCCTCTCTTTTGCCAGACACAAAAATCCAGAAGGTCCCAAATACTTTTAATTTCAGCAGCACCTATTAAGAGTCTTCAGCTGGAAAAGGATGTCTTATTTGAGGTGATCCTGATCATCCCAGGTTTTAACTCAAATCAAAGCATGAACAGCATGCTAGAGCACACAGCCTGAAAGGCTTGTCCCTGGTATGACTCACAACTAAAGGCTCACAGAGAAATTACATTTGTTGCATGATCAGCCCCTTGAACATGCTCTACAGCTGTGCCCTAACAGAAGAGCATAGCTGCAGAGCACTCCAATTGTGCGGCAAACCTGGGGTGATCAGGATCACCTCAAATAAGACATCTTTTTACAGTCTCATTATATGAGGGTTCAAATGAAGGTGCTCCAAGGCAGTGTGCCTTCATTAACTTCTGTATGCTCCAATGGCTGGGCTGCTGCAGCCCAGCCCTGCCCTGCCCCTGGTGCTGTCTCAGGATGGGAAGGGGAGAAAGCAAGGGAGGTAGGTCCATTCTGGGTTGTTCCCAAATGTGCTGGAGGGAGGAGGGTGGATTGGAGCCCCGTACCTTGGCCTGGGGGGAGGGGAAGTGCAGAGCTAGGGTAAGAAGCTGCAGACCTGCAGTCTCTCTTACTGGATTGGCTCCAAATTAGCTCCATCTCCCAGCTAATGTCTGTTGTGTCAGGAGGGTCAGCCTAACTCATGCCACTTTACAGAAAGTGCCCTGAGTTACACCAGGGAGATGCACTTCTGTCTGCACCTTAACATGAATGAGTCACAATTAACCTACAGATCTACACAGCATTGCAGGATTGGGGCCTACATCTGTCATTCAGACATTTCTTATCATATTCATATTCAGAAGCTACATCCATGGAGCTTTCTTCCTGAAAGACACACACCCTTCCTTTGGTTTAGCAGAACCATTGTCTTTATTCAAGCTAAGGACAGGTTTAAATTTTAACTGATTTAAAAGTGGGGAGCAGGGGGGTTTTGCAGCTTGGAAGCAGGCAACAGCTCTTATTATGATCTGCCATGAATGAAGCTGGGTTAACATGACAATGGTTTTACTACACTTGTCTCTCCATAGGAGCAAGTAGATGTAAATTATATCATAACGGCTTGTTGCTCTACCACTGGACATGAATTCAACTGTTGTATCTGTCTGTACCCTTAAGTCATCAAGCCAGTGTACTGCTCCTTTCCATGCCATTCATTCTGACCTGTCAGACTACAGTATTCAGTCAAAGCAAAGCTCTGTCCCAAGCCTAGCTGCCATGTTGACCTGAACAGGTAAGACAGGCCCATTTCCAGAGGTGTAGCAAGCTCATTTAGCATCCAGGTTGAAGAGGGTGAGAGGGAGTGGTACACTGACCACTGGGGATGGCGAAGGGGTGGTCAGTGAGGGACAGGGAAGTCTTACTTGCTCAGGCTCTTTGCACAGAGAATGCAGCTACTAATGCCACTGCTGTTGCCGGAGCTGATGTTGCCTTTCTTGTGCAGAGAGCTTGGCCAGAAGAAGTGACTAGAGAGAGTCCAGCACCGCAGTCCCTTGGCACGGGCTCCCATGACAGCCACTCTTGGAACCCTGTTTGCTCCCCCCTCCCTCCTCAGATATGCTGCTGGGCACAGGGCTGCACCTGCTGTGAGAAAAACTTCTGGGAGGTGGAGGTAGAAATCACCATTCCACTTACCTCCCACCTCCACAGATGCAGTGCTGGGTGCAAGGCTGCTCCGATGGCCAGGCGGTAGTAAAGATGCCAGTGGGGTGGGGTAGAGATTCTGCCACCCCCTCACAGTCAGTGCTGGGACTGGTGGCTCACTTGTTCTGCTCTATTATGCTACTGCCATTTTTGTAGCCAACGCCAAACAAGATTCATAGGTTGTTAGGGACTGGAAGGGACCTTGCAAGATCATCGGTTCCAGACCCCCTGCACTAGGCAGGAAAGACTGGTGGGGTCAGGTGGCACCAGCAAGGTGACTGTCCAGTCTCCTCTTGAAGATTTTCCAGGGTAGGTGATTGCAGGGTAAGAGAGAGAGACTAACATTGCAGCCATCTGCCTTTGACTTTTTTAGCCTAAAGGTGGGTTGTTTGGGAGCAGCCCCTAAAGTGTAAGATGGAAGTACACAGACAAACTAAAAGTTTGTACAAACACAAAGCAGCTACAAATACAGCTGGTCCCTATCTGCAGATCTTGCATTGTCATCCTTTGCCAAGAAGGAATAATGACAGACTCCTTTAATCCTCTTAAACAAGAATTCATCAGCATTTTGCAAAGTTTTTGCACAACTTACCGCAATTTGGTGGTTTTGAAAGACACGACAAGCCTGAAAACAGCTGACATGGCAGCATCTTTGGGGCAAAAGAACAGTGCATTTTAAATTTAAGATCTAATGACTGACTAAGGGCCAACTTATGGCATCAGAGGGCAAAGCTTGGATCAGCTAGCACATGCATGTCTAAAGACAAAATTCAGCCCTTGAATCCAGTAAAATATTATTTGAGGTATAAAGAAAGTCTGTACTTACAAAATAAAATGATCAGCAGCAAAAAGGTCAGCAGATGGACAAAGACTCCTCCCAGGAAGCATCTGAAATTATAACTATAACCTTAATATTTAGAAAATACAATATGCAGATACTGGGCCAGTGCATTGGTGGAGTGGTACTCGGCCTCCAGCCTGAGGGCCAGATCCAGGCTGTGAAGCTGTGTCACCTAGCCCGTGGAGCTCCCCTGGCTGGGGAAATTTGGCAGCGGGGGAATGGTGGCAGCATTAATTCCCACTCTCCTGCTGCCAAATTTCTGGACCCGTAGGGAGCCTCATGGGCCAGATAATGTGACCCTACACACTAAATCAAGCTAGCACGTGGAGTTGGTCCATAGCTAGATCCAGGCGTGTTGATTCAGACCAACACACTGGGTTAGGCTGGCATGCAGGGTCAGAACAGCACGCTGGATCGCACTGATGGACCACCTCCAGGCACTGACCCAAATTTTGGGATCCAGCCTGTGGACTGACCCCACACCAATCATCAGAGCTGCAGGACCAAGATGTTGGTGCCACTGCTTGCTATACCATGCACTACCCACATCTCCAGGGCAAGCCTTCAGTGAACCAGAATTGGTAACATGCCTTACAAAAAAATTACCATATTTTCTTGCATGCAACACACCCCAGAATATAATATGCACCTTCTTCTTGAAAGGCAAAATGAAGAAGAAAAGATCTTTCACTGTAGTCAGTAACTGAGTACCAGCAGCCAAGGACCCAGCTTGCTCATTGTTCTGATCCTTGTGGATCTGGGCAGGCAATTATTTGGGCCTGTCGGCCACATAGGCAGATCGGGGGAACTGTCACAGACTGATCAGCAACCATCTCCCACACACGGGCCAGAGCCCATGCACCCTGCAGCTCCTCCCCACCACTGCTAACAGCGCACAGCCCCAGCCCCGACCCCAGCCTGCCCCACACCCACTCCAGACTTGCCCTGGCCAAATTGGACCAGCCAGAACCTGTGCTTACAGCCCTGAACCCGGCTTGGCTGTGCCTGCTCCAGACTTGCCCACTGAGCAGTGGCAGCAGCTGGGCAAAAGCTGCTGTTCATCATGGGCAAAAAGCTGGCCCTTCCCCTCACCACTGCTGGGCCCTTCTTGCTGCAGCCACCCAGAGCCTGTGCCTGGGCTACCCTGAGGCTCCTCTCCACCACTATCACCGCTACCTTCAGACCATCCAGCGGGGCAGTGGTGGCAGTGCAGAGGAGCCGCAGGGCAGCTCGGGTGTGAGCCCTGGACAGCTGCAACAAGAGCCTGGCAGTGGTGAAAGGAAGGGCCCGCTTTTCCCCCACATTGAGCAGCAGCTTCTGCCTAGCCACTGCCACTGCTCAGTGTGAGTGGGCTAGTCCAGAGTGGGTGTGGGGCAGGCTGGGCTCAGGGCTGTGCACTGCTGGCAGTGGCAGGGAGGAGCTGCAGGGTGCGCTGGCTCTCGGCTGTGTGTGTGTGTGTGTGTGTGGGTGGGGTAGGGGGGACGGTGCTGACCAGCCCACGGCAGCTCCTCCAAACTGCCTATGTGGCCCACGGGCCCAAATCTTTGACATCACTAACTATAACTATGGTTCTATGTTCCACCTATAATAATAGAAGTAGGAAAAAAACTGAATTAAACAAACAGCATTTTAGCACTAAAAAACAGAGGAGGCGGCAAGAACTTTTAGTTGTCTTGTGGATAGATTAGAAACACAAATGTGGTTAGGCGAAGTCTTTGGCTATATAGCAAGTTAAAGGAATTCAGTTCTGTACTATGTGTGTTAATACCATCAAATATAATTTTTGTCTTCCTGTTCCTTGCCCTCTAACTTGTATAATTAGGTTAATGAAATCAGACTTCTTAATTGTATTTGAATTGCCTAACCTCAAATAAATGGCTAAAGCAGATTTAATGACGTAATTCAGTTGAATCTGAGAGCATAATTTCTTATAGAGGTTTATTTGAAAGAGATAAATTACAGTTTAAAGCATTGGTATTCCTTTCTCTCCCCCCACCCCCACCCAGCCTGTCTCTCACCCATTGACTCCTCCATCTACATCTTCACTGCCTGCCTGCCTTGTATGCAGACCAGCCCAGCCTCTGGCTTCTTTACTTTTCACTCCATCCAGGAAGAGCACACACCAACTGCTGAAACTTCCTCAGCCTGATGAAGGGTTTTTGAACCTGAAAGCTTGCTTAATTTTTTTTTCCCAACTACTTAAGTTGGTCTAATAAAAGATATCAGATGCACCCAAAGAACCCTGTCTGTCTATGTCCTTAGACCAACACGGCTACAACCTACACCCCTGTAGTTTAAAGCATTTAAACTTTAAATGGATACATAAAAATGGTATTTCCTATTTAATTAATTGCATAGCACATGGGCAAGACATGGAAGGTTAAGGTGTATAGCTTGAAATACATATTTGAGCCTTTAATTCATACCTACTAATACCTGATATGTGCATGTGAATCATACATTTGTGCAGAGCCAATCAGATGTCATAGCTGCATCCTAATATCTAATTTGCACACAGTAATATTTATTTGCATAAGAAATCACATGCAAATATATCTTCACAAATATGCATACCCAACTGAAAAATCTAGCTCCAAATATTATGCTTTATGCACCAGCTCACATACAACAAGTATTATTTTAAAGAAAATGAAATCAAAATTACCTGGCACAAATGGAAATGATTAAACACATGGACAGCATAATTATTTGATAAAACACATTTTTCAATGTACTGGATTCTAAGGAATAAACAATAAAAAAGAACAAAATCAGGACAACTGCCATTTCTGGACATGTGAGTTAAAAAGTTATAGTTTTGTCACTCCTTTGACATTGCACACTAGAAATTCAGATAAGAAAGAGTGCTTATTAGGGAAACAATGCTTCATTCAACTCTAACATAACATTCACCATGGGGTAATAGGAGTTTCTGCACTGACTTCAATTGGGGAGGGTCAATAGGAGTTTCTTCCATTCAACTGAGGTTAAGTCAACCTCACTAGCTGAAAAAAAAATGCTATACTTTATGTAGGTGCATTAGCCAATGCATTCAAATTCATTTTCTTTGAAAGCTCTTAACTCTGCTACATCTATTCAGTTATAACTTCCTTCCAAATGCTGTATAAAACTGAATTGCTCCACTATGGCTTCCTCAATTGGACAAATGTGACAATAAGCATAATGTATGTAAAAAAGGTTAAAAATAATACTCATAATTCCAAAATCATAGATGTGCTTGAAAATAAAATTTTTAGATTTCACAACAACTGGAAACAAATCTATAAATCTCAAAATCTGGACATTTATCTGTTAGAGTATCCAAGAAAAGTTTATTACGCAGTTAAATTCACAAATATATTTCTAAATTTGTTAAAATATATTTTTATACTCAAAGATTAGAGTGAAATATTTGCTTAACTGTGTCATGACCCAAAAGGCATGATTGTGTGTGTGCGCTTTGGCACCAGAATTATCCCCGCCAAGTTGCAGAGCATTGCACGGGAGAGTTTCCTGTAGCAAGAGGAAACCCCGGTGCAGGGACGAGTTTCCCGCCTTTTCTGCAGCTTCTTTTGCAGGGTGCATTGCTCATGTTGCAAGAGGAATGCACGGTGCAAAAGAGTTCCCGCCACCGGTATGCAAATTCGTTCCCCGTGATTGGCTAGTGTTAAATTATTCACACGTGGCGGCTAATGATTGGCCTGTTAGCCGTATAAAAGGCTTGAGCGGTTTCCGCCCAAGCCGAAGAGGACTCCACATCCATCTCGTGGGGACTCTGGGTACACGGCAGGGTAATAGAAACCCTGTGTGAGATCCAGAGGAGCGTGGCGGCCTGATCCACCGCCCACCTCTTCCCGTCTTCGAACGCGACTTTTATAAGACGTATTTACGATTTCTATTTTGGTGGCTCGTTCACCCAGAGCATCCGGAGCTCTGCATCGTGGAGCCTAGCAACCTCCATGAGACCGTCTGTGTTGTCTGTCTGTAACTGCAACTCAATCAAGTTTTCCAGCCTGCACCACTGCCATCTCGGTGTAAGTAAACAATCTTTAAAACTACCGATACGCGT